TGAAGAAAATCCATTCCGAGAATTCCTTCGTAGTCGACAAAAATTTCTCACGATATGCATGATATGTCGTATTTCCTTGTCATCTAAACGCATCTTTGCCCTTACTTTTTCAATTGTCTTTACTTGATGACCTGTCACGCCGGTGAGGGCCATTGGCTTTTCTTGTATAAGTGTCTCGCCCTTTAAGTTTCCTTTAATTAAAGTAAGTGTAGCTTCTATATCTAATAATAGATTTATCCGACTCTTCATTTCTTTGATCAGTAGTATAACAAGTCTAAGGTCAGTATTCGCATATCTCTCGGTCACTTGCGTAATTTGATGCTCGTTAGCGGCTCACGTTTTTCGCATCCTCCCTTTCTCCTTTTCTTCTTCGCTGTTAGCGTACGACGATTCTTCACTCTCACTTTATCGCTTATTTCGTCTTATCTCAACAGCAGTGTTTACACGCTTCACCTTACGGTGTCTCGCTTCGCGTGTTACTTCAGCTCTTTGTCGGGCCGTCCGTTCAATGACTAGCATTCGTTTCTTTTATGTCCTGCTTTTTTGCAATATATGCAAAATTCTCGATGGCATTTATACCTGCTTATCGACTCGGAGAAATGAAAATTTGTTAGCGTAACAACTTGATCAACAATCTCGCCCATAATGGCCTACTTTTCTGCATTTGCTGCACTGTACACTCGAATTTTTTGAGTTTTGGCTTTGACTATATTTATTGCGATCATTATTATTCGCTCGTGGGATAGGCCCTTTTAGGCTCTTTCGCGCTTGCTACATTGATAGCTTCTTGTAGATTTGAATATTTTTGTGATCGTACTAGTTTAATATCGTCGCGCAGTCTCAGCTCAAAATTTAATAAAGCTTGATCCTAAATCGTTTCTAAAATTGCTCGCTTCTGTTCGCTTGTATTTTCTCATTTCTCGATCAACGATTCGTATAGAATAGCTTCATGGCTAGGATTTCCACGCGCCTTCCATATGTGTGGGCATTTTCGCCTGACTTTTGTTTTAAGCATTAAACTCTAATTGTAGGTGTGATATTCCGCGTTTTCCTAAGTAATTGGCCTCTATCTCTCGCCGTAATTGTTCGAAATCTGCCACGCTTCTAGTTTGGAAGCCTAATAAGAGTTTTCCTCTCAATTTCGTGTTTAATATTTCTTCTAATAAGACTGATTTTTCAGTGAAATTGATCTTCTCCATCGCATAGGTATTAGCGCTTATGAATTCCTACATTTTTTGACACGAATGTTCGTCTATTTCCGGTATCAAACTCCGTGCATCTTTTAATCTTAAATATCCCACGGGTCGATTTCTTGTTTCCCACACGTCATTTTGCGTCTGTCTGTATGTGACGTTTAGCGTTCTATCGTCGAGGTACGCAAATCGGAAGTTTTCGCGATCATAAGTTGCAATTTCCATCCTGCTCATTCTATCCTGCAATCCCGTAATTGCTTCCATCATTCTGTCTAATTTATTCTGTCTTATTTCTTTTTGCCTACTTTAAACACATAGCTGACCCAGGACCCGGGAGCGGCGACGGTTCGTGGATCCACAAAGGATTTCGGGAGATGAGATTAGACAGTCTTGTAGTTTTTAAGTAAAAATATATTTAGCTGTTACACATAACACCAATGGTTATTTTATTACAATTTCTCTTAGCACTATTCGCGTCACGGCAGGTGCTGTTGCACTTTCGTTTAGACAGACAAAGTAACGCGACGAGTTTCTTCCAAACTTCTGATCTCCGTCCGCGGTCGCATTTATATTCTAAATTTTTCGGGTCATTCTTGAGTGCTTCGCACTGTCCGTTAGCGTTCCGTTTATCGGACGAGGACAGCTTCCGCGCAACTTTTGAGTCCATATTTCTTAAATTTACAATTTATATTCGCTCAAGGTTTTTTTTTATTATTTATTTAAAAGTATTTTTAAGTATGTTTAATAAATCGATTTCGGCAATCATTTATTTAATCATTTATATTTGTTGCACGTTCGTGGCGCAATTATCACTTGTGCAATTAACATTCGTGACGATGTTGTTAACAAGGCGAGTAATAACAATGTCATCATTAGATTGCATTCTGATATATTTTCTTACGCAATGAAGTAGGACAGATCGCGATAATGTGATTAGTCATACGACATTGGACATATGCAGAATTGGTTTCTCGATGATATTTTAGAATCTGAAGTGATGCACAATTGTGTGATAATTCTTTTTAAATCTGTTCCAATGACGACATATTCTGCATTAGATTGTGTACAAATGCCTAATATCGCATTCATAGTGATAAAAAAAAACATTATATAACTCAGTCGTACAATTATCACGTTTTTTCAGTGCTTTATATATTCATGTGTCACAACATTTTATTTATAATAAATCACTGAAAAAGCTATCAGCAGAATCTAAAATATGTTCTCCTAAAAAAGCTTCTATTAGTTTTTTCAAAGAAAGTTTAATCATTTGTGGTGCTCCGAAAGATCGTCAATATACGACACTATTGAGGTCGATACACTGCACTTATTTTGTATTGTAATATAACAGTGTATAACAGTGTTCTTACACCTTCGGAACATACTATACGTGAAAAAACAATTGCAGATAACTGTTCGGCATTTTTAAATCTAATATAAGATTTATATATTCATATATTTGTTCTGGTACAGCTTGAGAATTTTTGAACATTTTACTTAAATTAAATTCCATTGTAATGTTCAAATGGAAACGTAGATGTTGCCTAAAGAGCACAAAATCTTTTATCAGAAGAAGATATGTGAAGCATTGAATGTATATTAAATTTATAGAATTCTATTTCGTATAGCCTTTCAATTTTAAATACAAAATGTTGTATAGAAATTTTAGCTAAAGAAAAATCTATATGTTATATTTTTTTTGGAACAATATATACTGAACTGGATGCTTAAGGTATGCATTAGGCATTATATTTTGCATACATAACATGGAATAGTAGAGAAAAAAATGTTTTCATTCAGGAGCTTTCCACATGTTTCTCTCATTAATGACCGTAGAGTTTGTGTTCACATGGCGGCTTTATCTTTAACAGTCTTTTATCAAAAATAATCGTTTTGCCAAGATACCAAGATGGTTTGTCATGATAGGCAGAATCAAACCAGGCTTCAGTGAATGTCTTTACAACTCTCAATAAAATACTATAAAGATAATCCGGCGTGAACGAAGTGATAATATTAAATACTGGTAACAGCGTAAGAATAGAAGGTTCTTTGATACCTCTCATAATGCCACTTTACATAGATATTTCACAATCTTGCTCATGTTGACTTAATGTTCTACTCCTACCTACATCTCTCGGATAAACTCTAGTTGATCCTCTTTCAACTTTGACCTTCGTGCAATCAAAATGAACAACCATATTGTCCATTATATTGTACAATTGGTTGAAGAATTGACCTTGCTATAGAATCTACAGGGCTTACAATTGTGTGAACTTTTATACAGATTTCTTGTCCGTATATATTCCATACATAATTCCTTTCTTTCATATAAAGAAGTCAATTCTTCAACAAAAAAATTTAAATACAATATAAATGCATTGGGATTATTATGACTATATCATAGACCACAAAGTATCATGTTTTCTTTTCGAATTCAATATGATATTATAATTCATTTATGCACACTTGGATTGGCCACAGCGAAAATGACGAAGAACGGCACAGTTTAACGCCATCCGAATTAAATTACAAAGTATTTAATAATAATATCGTTTTCTGAAATCACATTCTTCTCTATCATTGATCTATAAAAAGTTCTGGAAATTACATCAAAAACCAACCATTCCTCTTACAAAAAAAAATAATAAATATGACTGTTTATAATTGTATGTAGTTGCTCTTGTAACGGAAGACGTAGTAGTACATATTATTTGTCAGAAATGATTTCATGTTTTTTTCACTGCATTGCAAACATGTTACACTTGTTTTTTCTTTAAGATGGTTAATATTTAAAGAGTTTTCGCAATTCGAACAATAATAACGTTTTCTTATAGAAACAAAATTTTCGTACTCATTAAAGAACATGTATTTACAGAATTAAGTAATAACAGATTTATTAATTCAATAAGATGTTATAATGCTATGTCACTTAAATGATGACGAATAATGAAATGCAAAAATAATAAATATCCTTTTTCTCTTGATGCACGAGAACCTTCATATAGTGAGTCCCAATTCTGAAATACAAAATTATTGTACTCACTAAGGAGACTTCATTTAAACGAAAACAATGTAAATATGTTGAATGCCGCATATATAACAATATAAAAATTATGCCAATAAATTTTATTAATGTTTATTACAAAAATGTACATACATTTTTATTGTCTCTTGGAATATATTCAAAATTCTCGATATCTTCTGCATCCTCAAACGCATCATTATCACTATCGTCGTCAAATGAATCATCTTGTGTATTATTATAACTGTCAGATTCGTCCTTACTTGAAATACTTGGAATTGATGTTACTACTGTCAGCGTTTCTTCGTTCTATAGAAAAAAAACATGTATTTATATTGTATTGTATATAGTTTCACATATATTTATTGTGTACATGATAAAGTAATGTGACATTTTTCATAAATATAAAGATATTAACTTACATCACTATTGAATCTATTCATACAGATGGTCGGTTTCTGTATCACTATTTCTATGAGTATTCCATAAATGTGACTGTTGTTCAATGTTAATGAAATGTGGGTATTCCTGTTCCATGGTCTGTACATGAAAAATGAATACTGTTATTCAAATGTTATGAATTAAAGAACCAAAAATATGCATATATGTAAAATCATTGAAAAATTTTAAATCAACATCTAATAATTCTCATATATTGTACATATACTAATATATTAATAAAATATTCCTACATTAATAAAATATTCCAACTGAAATTATAAATTAATAATTCATTTTATTACTACATCGTTTAATTGCAATAGTTCACTACCTTGTGCATTATCTACGTTAGGACCAATTTCTGCCATTGCTCTAGAACGGAGTATTGATTGTGGCATTTCTCAAGTAGGACTTGTAAGAACCTCTTGCTTCACTATTCATACTTTTAGAAACGTATTCCTAAAATGAAATAAGAAATGTAAACCTTTTGGTAATATTATGCAGTTTAGCTTCTCTCTCTCTCTCTCTCTCTCTCTCTCTCTCTCTCTCTCTCTCTCTTTCTCCCCCTTCCCTTCTTTCTCTTAAAAATCAATGAAATTTGACTCATTTAATGCGTTTTTGCGCAAAATGAAAGAATCTAGCAAAAAAAAAGCGTTGCCTTGCCTCATGAAGCAAGATATTTATCATTAAAAGTTTGAAAAACAACTGAGGTTACGAAATCTATCAACTGATTAATTATCAATGTCAGAGTTACAACAAAGATGCAAATTCTCTGATTTATAAACATAAATTCTCTGCTTTAAAAATAAAAATTCTTTGCTTTAAAGTACAAATTCTCCGCTTTAAAAATACAAATTACATTCTTATACAATTTTCATGTATGATTTTTGTTTTTAAATCAAAATTTGTATTTTTTAAGTAGAAAATTCGTATTTTAAAGCAAAGAATTTGTATTTGTACATCGCAATATTGCGTTGTTACAGTAGATTTCCTAATATGAATAAATCGTTAACTTTAATAATTTATATCTCGGCTCGCAGAGCAAATAACGACATATTTTTTTTGCTAGAAAGTCTTTCGTTTGCAAAACCGCGTAAAAAAAGCTTAATTTTATTGATTTTTGAGATGCGGGAAAGCTAATTAGCTTTTATAAAGTGTAATTACCAACTTTTTTTATCAATTTCCTATAATATCGTTATATAATGCTTTCTTATAATATCGTGCAATATGCAAGTAAAATTGGAGTTAACGCTTGTGTGTTCACTCAGTTTGAAGCAGATGCGAATTCCGGGCCACTTGCAGCACACGATCAGCGCCACCGATCGGCGGCCTGGCGCAACCGGTAGCAACACAAGCATGAGTCCGTGTCCGTGTGACTTGGTTAGAAGCGTGCCGACCATTATCGCTCTGTCATTTTTGCACTACGTTCTTATTGCTTGCCTTGTCGGCGCGCTGAGAACGGAGAGAACCTTATTTCACTCAAGCGAGCGTCGAGCAACCGAAATATGCTTTCTCGGCCTTTCGGCTCTCGACGTCAGGCGTGTATCAAGAGACATGGAGGCATGGGAACGCTCTAAATAACATATAAGTTTTAATAAATTGTAATAAATTGTAATACACTCTTCCCATAAATCCAGAATATTATAAATCGTATCAAAACGCGATAGTTGACAGGAGATTAAATTATTTATGAATTTATTAATTGTTTATGATTTTCCATTCGTGTTATGTACCATGATCATAAATTCGATCCGCAAGAAATTGGCGTAATCGAGCGCGTAAGATGTGAGATCGGAAATAATACTATAATTAGTAGTAAACATATATATTAGATCAAATGTATTTACAGATAATTTTCGAAATTATTGTTCGTATGTGTAATTTTTAAGCAATACTTGTAGGAAAAAAACCGATTCGCTTTTCAATAGGCAAATAAAAAAGTATTTTAAAATTACACAACATATGAAGGCTTTCAATTGTGCATTACAAAATTATATTGGTATCATCTTTATTTATATTATTAGTAATCTCGTTTTCAAAATTTTGTTCATTAACAGAATTTTAAATGCGGATGCGATAGTTAGAAAGAAATATTTTATATATAATAAAATATTGATCGACACAAAGCGTATTTGTCATAAACGCAACATCATTAAACATGTTTTTTTTAACGATAGGAGTCAAAACGTGGTTAAACTTAAAACAATGTGATTGAAAAGGCATACACCACGACTGCAAGATGTTAATAGCGAAATATTTATATTTTAATAGATTACCATAGAATAAAAACAATATAATAAAATAGACCTCATATATCAGGCTATCTTCAGTATTACAAAATTAATGTGTGTTATAACTTTCATACATGTTGAAAACCTAATTTCACTTAATTTCGAATAAATTTTATTCACGTTATAATAATGAGATCAAATATTTTTCACGCTCAATTACAATTATATTTTCGAAGAGCGTGATGCTCAGGTTATTGTTATAATTTTTTTAGTCTATATGTATATATATATATATATCACAGTTATATTAATTTTTTGTGACAATATTTTTGCTTGTGTGTGACATTAATTATTATATGTATTTTTAAGCTTTTAAGCGTTATGTCCGGGAATTTTAATACGCTGATTTTTTCCTACCCAATAAGTAAGATGTCTAAAATCGACGCAAGATCAATTTTATATAAGATATCTCTCAAAGTACTTTATGAAATATCTTGAGGATGCTTCTTAAAGAACTTTTAAGGAAATCTTAATGTTGCTGTATGTGTCGACGATAGACATTTCACTCAATGGGTTCATAAGCATCATATACACATGGACAATATAATATTTTTGAACTCTTCAGTCTTATGTCCGGGAACTTCAATACACTGATTTTTTCCTACCCAATGAGTAAGATGTCTAAAATCGACGCAAGATCAATTTTATATAAGATATCTCTCAAAGTTCTTTATGAAATATCTTGAAGATGCTTCTTAAAGAACTTTTAAAGAAATCTTAATATTGCTGTATGTGTCGACTTTATACGTTTCGCTCATTGGGTTCATAAGCGTCATATCCACACAGACAATATTTTTGAACTCTTCAGTCTTATGTCCGGGAACTTTAATACGCTGATTTTTTCCTACCCAATGAGTAAGATGTCTAAAATCGACGCAAGATCAATTTTATATAAGATATCTCTCAAAGTTCTTTATGAAATATCTTGAAGATGCTTCTTAAAGAACTTTTAAAGAAATCTTAATATAGTTGCATGTGTCGACTTTAGACGTTTCGTTCATTGGGTTCATAAGCGTCATATCCACACGGACAATATTTTTGAGCTCTTCAGTCTTATGTCCGGGAACTTTAATACGCTGATTTTTTCCTACCCAATGAGTAAGATGTCTAAAATCGACGTAAGATCAACTTTTTATAAGATATCTCTCAAAGTTCTTTATGAAATATCTTGAAGATGCTTCTTAAAGAACTTTTAAGGAAATCTCAATGTTGCTGTATGTGTCGACTTTATACGTTTCGCTCATTGTTCATAAGCGTCACATCCACACGGACAATATTTTTAATACGCTTTTAAATGTTATATCCTTATTTATATCCTTATTTAAGGAAGTTTAAAAAGATTAAAATTTTACATTTAATATTTTTAATCCTTTCTCGAGGGACCAGCAATATCATTTGTATCAGCAGCACGTATTCCTGAAGTACTTCGTTTTTTTTTAGCAACACTACTGTATAATATGTTCGTCGACATACGATACAAATGTTTTTCTTCGATAGTGATACTTAAAGAAGTTTCTCCTCTCGCTTTTAATGCTGATTTCACAATGCAAGCGGCATTAACAGAAACTGACGACAATTTGTTGCGTTTTTTTGTTTTCAAATCAGTTAAGAAGGAAAACATTCTCTCCGCGTCGGCATTTGAATTTGGAAGAGATCGTACAGCATTTAAAAGTTTTGTTAAGTTTGGATATTTATCGATGTTCTTTGGATGTTGAAATTGCAAAATTTGTTTCCACATCGAATCTTAATTTAGCGAGACTGATTTTCTTCTGCAATGCAAAATCTAATGGCAATGCAAACCATTGTTTCTTTAAAGCGTCTTCATCGAAACCACCGATAGTTTGAGCTACGAATAAAACATTGCTGAATGATGTTTCTCTATCAATATCTTGTGAAGATACTGTGTTGTGAAGATCCAAAAACATTTAATTTTGATTAAAAAATATCGTTTACATGCAATCTTTTACGAATTTGCTCAGCAGCAGTCACGTAAAACATCAAGCAGTTGCTTCGAATTATTGTAACTACGTTTTCGTGTCCTTGCATCATTAATTCGTTAAGATATTCCTGACATTCTGATCCTAAGTTAATTTCATTAAGATTTCTTTTCATTAAGATTTTCTTTTAAAGAAAACAGTATATGTACAGAAAAACATTGTGTTCATTCTTTAAAAAATTTTGGCAATTTTATAAAATAATGTTAAAGATTTTGATTGCAATTCATGAATTCCTGTTTCTAATGACTGAAAATGTGCATTAAATTTGTTAAACAAATATAAAATATACTGTAAGAAAAGAAAATAAGCTTTTGTCTCTATATTATCCATTATAGACAATAAATCTTTGGCAGGACCTGCTTTTTCGCTTACAACTATTTCACAAAGGAAGTATCTTATTGTATCCCAATATTCTAGAAGTCTTTCAACACAAAAATAGCGAGAAAACCAGCGCGTATCACATAATTTTAAGCCTTTTTTCTTGAAAACATTCACAAAATTTAATGAATACAGCTGATCGTTTTGGACTGCTGTTAATATATCTAGCAATCTTTTTAATAAATTCCTCGCAAAAATCGGGTATTTTATTGCACGCAGCATTCGCTACTAACGCGGAGGAATGGCAAAGGCACGATAATGTTAGTAAACGTGGACATACTTGTTCCAATTTTTTTTTAAACGATAAATGTTTCCCTGTCATGACAGACGCATTATCGCATGACAAGGCAACAATATTTGTAAATGGTATCTGTAATGTCCACATTTCATTTCTAAATGCTTCATACAACTTTTCTGCACTGCAATCTCTAGCATCAATATCAATTAATTTGACTTCAATTATCTAATATTTTTGGCTCAATGTATGTCAAACAAGAAAAGTCATCCATTTGTCATTACAAATATCAGATGTTTCATCGATAAATATTGTAAATTTTGTGTTCTGAATGTTGTTCACAACACGTTCCGTTTCAACTGGACTCAAAACGTTTGTAATATTAGGTGTTGGAATTAATTCGTAGCGTTTTACAAGTGATGGGAAGTACTTTCATTAATGTATTTTTTAATGCTCATGTGAAATAAATAACATTCTTTCATTAAAAACGCTACGAATTAATTCCAACACCTAATAATATTTGTACATTTTTTACGATTCATTTTCATGCTTTGTAAT